CTAAAAAATCAGTGATGAACGTATGAAGCACATCGCTGCATGGGAAGAACTGGAAGAAATCATGCTGAGAAAAGTAAGCCAAGCACAAAAGGACAAGTACAACTAGTAAAACTAATTTTTGTGTTTGTTGACATTTAAATTTTAAAATTTGTGAGTGCTATATCAATGGTAGGTATCATGTTATTTAAAGAATTATATCTCCCTGGGAGCACTTTAAAAGGGCTCACACGCTGTTTCATATTCAGTTATCCCATAGATACGAACGCCACACAATGGTTACTAAACAAATTAACATGCTTTCTCTTTTTCACATCTTTATTTTTCTGAACATTAAAAGGAAAAGGGATGAAAATGTAGTCACGAAATATCCCACTCATGTTACAGTCTGTAGCAGAGGTTATTATACTAGATTATCCTAAAAGCCTATTTCCAGGGCTCATTTAATGAAGAATAGATTTTAAAATCTAGTTTGTTCTTGAAGAAAGCATTGTTTATTAGTACAGTATGTTAGAATGTAACAACTTATCATTTGATCTCCCTTTTGACCCCTTTTAAAGTTGTTTCAGTTTTTAATATTTTCTGCTTTCTTTTCAGTGGAGCTTTTCAGTTGTTATTGTTTTGGCTTGTTCGTGTTTTGCATGGTTTCTGTACGTGAAATCCAGGATTGATATATCTATAAACAGTAACTGAATTAATTATTACGTAAGGACATGGCCAGGGAGGTTGGGGAGAACAACTATGAGTACAAGAAGGAAGAAAATGTTCTGAAACTGATTGTGCTGATTATGCAACTCCTCTCAGTATGACTGATGATTAAAATTATATATGAATTACACATCAATACAACTATTAAAAGGTTGTAAAATCATGAAGACCTTTTTTCACTCTGAAATGATATTAAAATTATACTTCATTTAACATCAACTACTAAGGAGCCCTGGTGGTACAGTGGTTAGGTGTTGGGCTGTGACCTGCATGGTTGGCAGTTTGAAACCACCAGCAGCTCTGCAGGAGGAAGACTGGGCTTTCTACTCCTGTAAACGTTAGTCTCGAAAACCCATAAGGGATCATTGTGACTGGGCACTGACTTGATGGCAGTGATGCTGGTGAGTTTGAACATCAACAACTAGGATTATTTTGCTTACGGTTTAGTTAAGGAAAAAAAAGAAAACGATCCATTGCATACCTCTAAATGCCTACATGGAATCACTATCGCACTAGTATTGAAAAAGAGAAGGAATAAAAAAATCACTTGAGAAAAAATTATTAAGAGGCAAGATCATTAAAAGAGGTAACTAGTCTATTAAAAACAGATATCTATGGGTATGTATGCAGAAATGAATGAATATAGAAGGCCTATATGATCATCTTTTAAAAACCCTACTTATACAGTTATGCTTGGACAGGTGTCTGGGAACCTGTATTTCAGAAGAGAGCCTAAGTGTGGCTCACTAAGCAAAAATGATTCAAAGTGGGTGTCTTTTGGGGGTGGGTCTATAATTCTGGCATATGCTAGGCAGAGGGTGTCTCTGTGACCACATGCCAGTAAAAGCCTTGGCTAGTAAAGTCTCTTAACTTGCCTTCATGGATGGTAACATTTTATCGGGGTTGTTACAATGCATAAGGAACTATGGTGGTGCTGTCAGGTAAGTGAATTGAACTGCCAAGTACAAAGTTGGTGGTTCAAACCCACCAATCACTCTGTGGAACAAAGATGAGGCTATCAGCTTCTGGCAAGATTTACAGCTTGGGAAAACCTGCACAGGGTGGCTGTGAGCGGAAACTGACTTGGTGGCAGTGAGTCTGGCTCGGCATGACTTCACTGGGAGAGAACCACCTCGCTGCCACAAAAGGCTTTGCTTCATGTGCATTTTCTTTTTGCTGCAGGTGCTTGGTATTCTGTCACTGTAAGAAATCACAACTGTGTGTCTATCTATATGCCAAGTCCTGTTACGTGTCCTAGCGATACTAAACCTGAGAGTCGTCTTAGGGTCTCCTATGCAGCCCGTAGAGTAGGGAAAAGTTCATTTAAAAAATTGCTTTGAAATAGGAAATGTATATTTATACAAATCAGTGCTGATTTGTAGCTATAAAATTTGTAGTTATAAGCTAAAGCAATCAAAACCTCCACTTCTTATTCAGTTTTAGGGTGTTATTTGTATTTTAAAATCTATCTTTAAATAATAAGTGAAACTTTTTTTACACACTGATCTATTTATATCACTACAATGAAAACTATTCCTATATTAAACTAAAACCCAAAACAAACAAACAAAAAGAATTTTTTTTGTGTTATCACAGACCAGAGGGTAGCATTTGCTGAATTTCTTCAGTCTTTCATCCCAGCTCCTTTAAATGACAAACGAGTTCTTACCTTGAAATGCTCCTCCTTCAATAATTCCCTCTTTGGTACTGTCAAAGCCATGGGACGTAATCTGGGTTTCTGAGAGACCAAGGCCAGCTGGCAATGAACGTTTCAAATCCTTAGTATTTGAATAAAAGAGAAAATCCTTGTAAAAAACCTGACAACACATAAATTCACTATAATTGTGTCCTTCTTAAACTATTTTCTCTCCACTATGTAGTACCATATATACCTGAATATCAGCTGAGGCACCTAATTTTACCACAAAAACGGCATTTAAAATGTGCTGAAAAAACTTGGCTTAACCAAAGAACAAAAAATCATATTTTTGTGAATGAGGGGGAGTGTGGAGTGGAGACCCAAAGCTCATCTGCAGGCAACTGGACATCCCCTTATAGAAAGGTGGCAGGGAGGAGATGAGCCAGTCAGGGTGCAGTGTAGCAATGATGAAACATACAACTTTCCTCTAGTTTTGTAATGCTTCCCCCTATCATGACCCCAATTCTACCTTTCAAATCCAGCTAGACCAGAGGATGTACACTGGTACAGATAAGAGCTGGAAACACAGGGAATCCAGGACAGATAAACTCCTCAGGGCCAATTAGAGTAGAGATACCAGGAGGGTAAGGGGAAGATGGGGGAGAAAGGGGGAACTGATCACAATGATCTACATA